CAATGAGCGACTCCTGGGGCCACACCTGAGCCGACACTTCGCTCCAATCGGTCTCATATTTGGATGGTTTGTATTTTATGACAAACTCTTTGATGGGACAGCCGTTTGATGGCCAGCCGTCCAGACGAATGAGCGCCGACGTCGTGTTCGCCACAACCAATTCAGACACATGTTTGGGAGATGTCGGCGCTGTGGAAAGGGATGCAAACAAATAAGGTTTAGAACTGTAACTTTTATATACACATTATAAAAATGTTAATGCACAATTTGTAATATTAAATTTGGCTAAATTAACACAAAAACCTTACAATAAAATAGTTTGTGATAATTTTTATTTTAATAATAGTAAATATTTCACAATATATACCTGATCCTTTAGTCTTAATAGCAATGGCATCACTCGGGTCTCCCTTTCCCATCGCATTGTACGCCACGACATAAAACTAATTGAAATATACTGTATTAGACATGTTTTAATAGATAATAATATTAATAATTAATTTGTTTAAAATTTTATATAAAAGTATTATTTAAACTAAAACTAATTGTTAAGAATATTATAATAATTATCTTGTCATCCTTTTCCAATTTTAATAAATTTAAATTTATAATTTATATACTGGTACTTTATAATCTATTGTTATTATTACAGTTCATTTTAAATAATCTGAATAATAACTTAATCCATAATTTGGTGCAAAACTCTATTCAATGCAATACCTGATAGAGTGTACCGCAGAGTAAGTCTATCGCAGTATAGGAACTGATTTTCTGACGGATCTGTTTGTCCATCCATTGAGAGGAATGGCTTTTAGAGTATATGTAATACCCGTTGATTGTCGCCAACGCCACCGTTAGGTTAGGGCTTTCCAGAGGGAAACTCCACACTATCTCTATGGAGTCAAAGGTCACGTCACCCACCGATAGCTGCGGGGCTGTCGGTCTGTCCATCAGTAGTGTCTGTCCGTATGCCTCCTCCGATTGGGGTCCCGTTCCCTTCCTGTCAGGGTTTTGCAAATTTAGTAATATTTTTAGCAAACTGTAAATATTGATAAAATGTGTTACGATATAATATGACAAAGTTTATGTGTTATATAAACGGATGCAAAGAATATCACAATAAGTTTTTCGATGCATTAAATATAATATAATTTTACGGTAATATAAATTAGAGTTATCGATAAAATACTCTAACATTTTATGACGTGTTTTGTAATTTTTTATAGGTTTTCGTCAAATACTTATCATGACATATATTCTCTCTC